GAACTACTCAAAATTTCCGCTACCAGTTCTCCAAAACAGGTCAGAACCTGCTGAATACCACCTCTGAGTCCAACCCCCTGCCCAAAACAGTAGTTCTCATGCCATCCCAGACAAATGGTTAAAATAAGTTAATGTTAAGAGTGTCTGCCTCTATAAGGTAGTTTGTGTTTAAAAAATGCGGAAGAGGAACAAGTTTTCCAAACAAAACCGAGACTGATTTGAAAGTGGGTTTAAAAATGGCAGGCTACAAGAATGGTAGGGAAAAAGATGCTACACTGGATAAATGAATCCAGTTGATATATTGGTAATTAAAAGGGGTCTAAAAATAACAAACAAAAGAATGACCTGGATAATTTTCATATATTGTATTTACAAAAGAGATGGGTTAAAGCTTTGAAAATTTTTATTATAAAATGAAATCAAGTTCTAGGATAATATTTGAAAGGACTAAAGATCAAGATTCTTGAAAGTAAAAGGAAGGAATATAAAATTGATTTATCTAATCAAGGTTAACATATGTTGTTATCTCTAGTGATCCGTAATGGACTTTTGCAGATCAAACTGAAATAACTTAATGTCTATGAAGATCCTCAAGTCATCCAGGTCATGGTTGTCCCAAAGGTGCTTCTTCAAAAAGTTTCTTGGTTTTTGTTTTTCACTTCTCATCCAAGAAGCTTATTCACTTCCTTCAGAATGATCAGATTTTAAGGACTTGTTTATAGATCCAAAAAGGGATATATGGAAAGAAGAGATAATTAGTTGAATTCTTTTAAGAGGAGACAAATTACTAAAATTTAAACTTGTGATGAAGAAGTCATTTCTTTATATATTTCTTTACTATATTCCTATTTTTCTTTTCCATTTTTTCCATTTTTTTCTGCACCCTTTATTTTTTGTCATTTTTTTAGTTTATAGTTTTTATTACTTTAATTTTTAATAAAACTGCCTTTAAAAATAAAAGCTAATATTGTGTGGGGAGCAAAAGCTAGCACACGATCTGGAGACAGGAGATCCTGCTCCAGCAGCTTCCCTTTTCCCACCCTGGCTGAAGGCAGCTGCCCTTTCCATCCATTGACCTTCTGGCGTTCCATCTGTGCACAATGCAAACTTCTAACTGAAGTCCAGATGGCAGATGGCAAAAAGCGATGCTGTGTGCACAATGAACATCCAAATACTCCAATTCTCTTGCTGTAGATCCATGAGAGTGGCATTTACTTTTCCTTATCATCACTAGTAGGAAGGGTGATGGGAGGGTGTCGTTTGGGTTGATAGGCCATCATAAGCTTTCTTCTCCCATTTGGCACTCGAAGATGGGGAGTAACCCTTTCGGTTTAATCTCTGTTAAGCTGCTTGGAATGAAAGCCAGTCTCTTTCCGATGAGAAATGGGCTGTGAAAGAACTCAATTATTTCAGAGCTTTAATCAACTTGAATAAGATAAATGAAGCAGACGGGTGGACAGGGCTTCCTTTTAGAGACAGAGAAGTGAAATGGTATTTGTTTAGATTCTTTTTGCAGTGTTACTCTAAATGTGACTATTTCAGGAATTCTGTCAGTCCTCTACCTATGTATTTACTTATAGAGGTTGCCTGACTTCAAACAACCCTTTGTGGATTACTTTTTAAAAAGGAGGAACGACAAAATATAAAGAAATAAAACATACGTATCCAGAAAGCAACCCCACCTGCCAGAAAAGAGAGGTTTTCAATTATTTTCTGAATGACATCAGCTACCGAATTCAAATCTCTGCGCGGAGGCCATTCCAGAGGGCAGGCATTGTGACAGAAAAGGCATTCTTCCTAGGCAGTGGTGGGATTCATTTTTTTTTTACTACCATTTCTGTGAGCACGGCTTGGTGGGCTCAGCAGGAGAAGGATACTGTAAAATCTCCAGTCAGAGGTGGTATTTGCCAATTCTCCAAACTACTCAAAATTTCCGCTACCGATTCTCCAGAACTGGTTAGAATCTGCTGAATACCACCTCTGGCATATATGCAAACAGTGGTAAGTCATGGATCATAAATCATAAGATACAATCGTAAATCGTAAAAGGCAAACAACAGGTGATAAATCATGATACCAATAGGAGAAGATAGTAGGAAAGATGAAAAGATAAGGGTAATAGCAATACGCCTCTACTACATAGGTAAATATCCTTAGACATAAGACAGTACTGTGGGAATTAGGTGTTCAGCAGTTATGGCACAAAGGATAGTTATTTTGGCATACAATCTCCTGTAGCAGTGTCCCAAGGGAAGAGTTGAAACAATTTATGTCCAGGATGTGAGGGGTTCTGTAGATATTTTCTCAGCCCTCTTTCTGACCCATGCAATGCACAGGTCCTCAATGGAAGGCCGGCTGGTTGCAATTGTTTTTTTTTCTTTTCTGCAGGCCTAACTATCCATTGAAGTCTGTACCTGTCCTGTTTTGGTTGCTGTGCCAAACCAGACAGTTCTAGAAGTAGAAACGACAGACTCAATCATTCCTCTGTAGAACTGTATCAGCAGCTCCTTGGTCCTTTAAGGGATCTGAAATCTGTTCCACTCCATTTCCTGCTAGAATCAAGACATACAGGCTGAAAACTGTGGGCAGCTCAGATAAGCAATCTCCTTCAAACTGATTTAAGTTGACCGTGTGCCATCAAGTCAGTGTTGACTCTTAGGAGCCACAAAGAGGTTTTTAAGAAGAAATTGGACAACCATTTGTCTGGAATGGTATAGGGCAGGGGTCCCCAACCCCCCCCCCCCCCAGTTTGTGGACCAGCATCGATCCAAGGCATGCCAGCAACTGGTCTGCACAAACAAGTGAAGCCCCATCCACAGGATGCAAAACCATACACCCTTCCAGTCCGCAAAAAAACCTTTCTCCACAGAACTGATCCTTATTGCCCAAAAGGTTGGGGACCACTGGTATAGAGTTTCCTGCTTAAGTAGGTGTTTGGACTAGAAGACCTTCCAGGTCCCTTCCAATGGTGTTATTCTGTTGTTCCTAACCTGGTCCTTCAGATTTTCCAAAGGTGCCCCCATCAACATTGGTTATTTACTGCCAGTCATCTTCTTCTCTTTCCTTCTGCCTTTCCCAGCATTAGAATCTTTTCAGAGAGCTGGTTCATCATTTATAATGAGAAGCTGATTTAACATGGAAAAACAGGGAGAGAGAAACAATTTGTGAAACTATGAAGTGGACAAGCAAAAATGCAAAGCAGTCCTCAGCTGGGAAAGGAAACATTAAAGGAAAACAGGCAGAGCTCTGTTCACAAACAAAAGGCTAATATCATGGCTTGTGCTAAATTAATTTGGGCACTATTCTGTACCTGCCGAAGACTTAGATAAAATAGCTTTTCCCCTCCCTGTGAGATGTAAAACAGACAGGTTGAACTTGTTGAGCTGCCACGTAAGTTGGGACTATACCCTCAAATGAAGGGGATTTAAATTAATTCTAATCTAATTGTGGGTGAACTCCATTGTTCTTTAAGCACAATTTAAATCAGCATTTCCCCAAAGGGGTAGTGCTGCTTCCTGTGGGACAATTTTGTAGTTTAAGAGAGCAGTAGAAACTAAGAAGACATTGAGAAACATCTTTTGCCACACTATACAGATCCTCAATCTCTTTTTCTGCAACTAAAAAAGCATAATAGGAGAGAGCAGCATAGTGGCCTAGTGGTGAAGATGCTTGCCTCCCGCTCAGAAGGTTTGAGAGTTCAACCCTAGGTAGTGGCAGTTGTTCCCCTCCTAGGGTGCGAAGAAAAAATATCTGCTGTGAACTCCACAAAGGCATCAGAAAAGGGCATCTAGCCAGTAAACTCTCAGCTCCATCCAGTCACCCAGTCTCTACCCCAAATTAAGGAATTGAGAGTAGTAAAAATGGAATTGAATACGAAAACATTCATTTTCTAAATCAGAACTTGTAAAGAATTTCATTAAGGTTGTAGTAATGACTGTAAATATAACATGTTCCTGAAGTAGTGAACTTATAATAAGTGTTGTGTTAACCAGGAAGTGAGAGTATTTGCGTAATGGGAATCTGTTATCTACTGGTGGATATTTGTCTGCGATACATTATATAATTATCATTATGGTCCATCTCAGAGCCAGCCAGTTCAGACTGGATTTGCCATTTTTTATCTTCCTGTTGAGTCCTTCTTAAGAACCCGGGATAGGCAGAAGTTCATGTTTGATGGTATTAGAGGTATCTGTTCCCAGTAAAACTGTCTTTTGCAATTGACTGATGGTGAATTTGTCAATGCCAATGATGTTCAAGTGGTGTGCCAGTTGTTTTGGGACTCCACTGCAGCTGCTATAAATAGATGCCAGTTGCCAAGTGCTCAATTGGCATGTATTTATGACCATGTATTGATGTGGCCATGGGATGTTGCAATGGTTGTTAATGTGAAAACTGGGGATTCAGTCTTTTTCCACTGCTGCTGTAACTTCAGTCATTAAACAAATGGTTGTAAATTGAGGGCTAACTGTATGTTGTATTTTTTGCCATTGGCAATCTTTTGGCAACTTATATGCAAGCTACTTATTCAATTTTATTATTTATGAATTACTCCCCCCGCAAGAATTAGAGTACTCTAGTGTTATTTGTTATGCATTTTATATTTCTATTTTTTATTATATATATGTAGATACATAAAATATATTTACCTCAGGCATCTGAATCCAGTTAGATGAAATCCCCTTTTAACTGTCTAATTATTTAATGCAATCGCAATTTTATATTATATATATTGGGTTCTGTTTTTTAAAAAACTAGGATTAGCAATTCTGTTCACACAAAGAAATTTTCATCTAAAACCAGAGGAATTTGGAAAAACAGTGAAACTCTGTGTCATAAGGCATCACTATGAATACAGCACTTTTTATAAAAGGTCTTTTAAGGTGGCAAATATTATGCACAGTTTCCAAAACGAGTGCTCCAAAAACGTTGAAATAGGCCATCTAATGTACAACTTCTTATTCTGAAGAATCTTTCAATCCTAAAACCTTTTTCCAAAAGACTGAACAGAGTATTTCATCTGACATTACATAAACACAGCTTCTACTTCCAGTAGCCAAGGTTCATTTATTTTTAAAGGGAAAAAAAAAACCCTGAATGAATGAACACCACACCACATCACAATGCAAACAATCTACAACATGATGCAGAATCAGAATAGTAGAGTTAATTCTCCACAACATCCATCTCTTGACCCAAACCCATGTTGTTGGGAATAATGTAAACATTTACAATTTTTTTAGAGTTGTAAGTACATTATATTAAGACAATGGCGGACATGATACATTGGCAAGCGATTTAGTTCTCAAAACGTTATTCTGAAGGACAGCGTGATTTGAGGAGAGCTAAGAACGCCAGAATAGAAACTGCAGCAGGAGGTCATGGTTGGCAGGGTTCCTGGAGTGGGCAGAGCATGGCAGAGAAATGAGGTGGTCTTGTGAGATACCCTCACCCAAATATTTGTCAAGACCCTTTGGCCACCATTTTCTGCTTGGATAATTTGATTTTGCAGATCTCATCTAGGGCATTTTCTTCTCTGGTATTAGAATTCCCTACAGGTACCCAGAAAGGCCTACGCTACAAGCCCGCTCCCCGCCTTACTGCAAAATAGTCCAACAGGAGCAATATTTGCTGCTGCTGTTTAACTGGCGTTAAAGAACTTGAGGGGTCTTTGCTGACTGAGACTCCTGCAGAAGGAACAGAACCCCTCCACAATTTGGCAAGAAGTCTGGTCCCACTTCGCCCCACTTTTGAGAAAACGGCCATCCATCTGGGAGTCCACCAAGATGCTTTTAAGGCAGCCTTGTACCCAGGAGTTGCCTGCCTGGATATCCTGAGTTTCAAGAACCAGTCAGCTCATTTCTCTTCCCAGCAGCCAAACTGGGAAGCCCAAAAGTGCAGGGTAAAAAAAAAAAAAAGCAACTGGTGGTACTGAGGAAATGTTTAGCTTAGGGCTGGGATCTGGAGGAGGTTCCTCTGAGGAAATGGAGATGGGGCATGCCTATAACAGGGACCCTGCAGGGTAGCTATTAGCTAGGCAGCATTTTCCCCCCCTGTGGCTCTATTTTTTTTTTTAAAGCAATTAAGGCAAAAGCAGAGAAAGTAAAGCTCATGCAATGCAACGGCATGATGTCAGCAAGGCAATTTTAAAGCGACAGCTCACTGGCACTTTGGAACAAATGTAATGCATTTTAAAATGGCAGGTACCGTTTTTTTTTTTTTTTCAAAAACCACGTTTGGAATGTATCAAGAAATCTCACAAGGAGAAAATGAGAGAGGAAAAAGAAAGAGGCTCATTTTCTTTGGCTCACTTGTTAACATACCCTTGAGGGGGAGAACTTGGCCCTTGTATTTACAAAACAGGCAGTTTTCCAATGGACCAAGAGGGAATCCTTCCAGGGTCACTAAATATGCAAAAAAGGCTGGGATCTGGAGGAGGGGGGGGGGGAAGAGAATCAGACCAGAGTAGGTAAAATCAGATAAGGCACATATTACAACCCACGTCTCTGTCCTATCCCTATTTTCCATTCTGCCTGGAGCTGCTTTTTCACATTTTTTTTTTGATAAACCCACAACATTTCCCCAAAAAGTAATGTATTTTGTAAAGAAGAAAGGGGGGAAGAACCAGGACAAGCCTGCTTCTCGGAAAGGAAATAAAAGCAAAGGTTTGAAAAGGCAACTAACCGTTGGATGATGGGGGAAGGCCCAGATGACTTAACAGACAGCTCTCCTTAAGACTGTGCCCAAGATTTCGGAGTCTGAATGCTTTGAGGCAGCCTGGACACATCCGGCTGCTTCCAGACATATGGGGAGCATAAGCCACGAAATCCTTCACCAGCATAGCTAAGGCGCTGCTGCTCCAGTGTGTTGGATCAGATTGGACAAAACTGGCCCGAGGTAGCACAATAACTGGTACCTTCCAAAAAGCATCCTTAGACAAAGAACTGGATCAAGTTCTGGGGAGGATTTTACCTCCCAGGATGCCAGAATTAGACTCACACCGGTGAGAAGAAGAGCACTGACTGAACAGGGCACCCCCAAAGCCATAGGAGACCCAAGATCATTGGAAAATTGTGGAAGAGATGTGAACTGCTGAAATGTCAAACTGGCCCAGCCAAAGCAATGTTTTTCAACCTCAGTAATTTTAAGAGGTATGGACTTCAACTCCCAGAATTCCCCAGCCAGCCATGCTGGCTGGGGAATTCTGGGAATTGAAGTCCATGCCTCTTAAAGTTGCTGAGGTTGAGAAAGACTAAGGGCTCCTTGAGCTCAGTAGCTATTGGACACCCCACCACACACACACACACAAAAAAAATCTGAGGAAAGAAATACTTGTAGATGCGGCCTGATTGTGGATCTTGATACTTTGCAGATTCTCATCCATCTGCTCTGAGGTAAAGTGGAATATCTGAACAGAATTTGATCTGTCAGTACCAGCAATGAAAAAAGGTCTGTGGTTTAATTATGGGAAATTTCTTTTTCCCAAGAGGGACAGGCTCAGACCAGGTCATAGTCACCTTCAAAGTTTCTATTTTAGCAAGCAAGTTAATAGCCAGCAAAGTAGGAGGAAGAGAGCCTAAAGCAACACACTCTAAACAAAACAAATAAGCAAAACGAAGACCTGTTAATAGGTCAAAACTTCCAGAAAATGGATCCTATTTTAGGAGAGCAGGGTCCATATTTGGACTTGTCCTCCTTAATTAATACAGTTCTCCATTCCGGAAAGCTAGCAGTTCATTGAGAAGATTAAATCATGCTGCTAACTTTCTGTTTCTAGGAATTATTTTCCTGGGAGAAGGATTCAGTTACAAAACTCCTGCTCTGGCAGCAGCAAACATCAAAAAATAGTTGTCGTCATGAACAAGCTGTTCACACTATCACACATTTCCTTTCACAATGATCCCTTGAGCTGCAGGACCCCCAAAAGATACAGGGAGTCAGGATTAGCACACAAGCAAGCTCAAAAAAACAGGGAAAGGGCGGAGAAAAGTTTAAGTCCACTTTCCCAAAATCTTCAGGGGAACCTGGTGGTGAACGAGGCAGTCAATAGAAATGACAGTTTTAACCAGTCCCTTGTGCATCCATTGGCAAGAATGACCTACGTGGGAGAAAAAAAGGGGATTCCTATCAATAAAAATAGGACTAATCCAATTTTATGGGCAACAGCCATGTCTTGGCACGAGCTGCTGCCATCATAAAGGGAGAACCATAAATAAAACCACGATTAGGGGAAGAAAGTGCACTAACCCTAAAGGAAAAAGAGAAAGAGGGAAAGAAGGAGACAGAGAGAGAGAGAGAGAGAGCTTCAAATGAGGAACCCAATGTGTTTCTTGCAACAACTCAAACCAAACTATTTGAGCAGCCCAACAGCAGGCCAGGATCAGGACCAAGGGTTTCCGTAATTGGGAACTGTTGGATATTCAGGGAGGCTGTTTCCTGAAAAGTTGCTGTGCTGGGCTTCCCTGCTCGGAGGATCTTTCCATGACCCACTCTGCCATTCGTTCTGGGCTTTCTGAAAGCTTCCACCTCCGCCACGGTAGATCCGGTGAACCTGATCGGAAAGAGAAAGAAGGAAAATAGGAACCCAAGCCTCTATCTCTGTGATGGCGAACCTATGGCACGCGTGCCACAAGTGGCACCCAGAGCCATTTGTGCTGGCACGTGAGCCGCAGGAAGACTTACCTCACTGCCCATGTGCTTGCCTCACAACTGATTTTTCAGCTGGTTTGAGGCCTTTTTCGGCCTCCCAGAGGCTTGGAAAAAGCCTCTGCAAGGTTTTTCAGGCCGAATAGGCCCATTTTGTCACTTCTTGTAATACCAGAAGTGATGAAACGGGCCTATAATTCGTCCTGAAAAGCTTTGCGGAGGCTTTTTCCAAGCCCCTGAGAGGCCGAAAAAGGCCTCAAACCAGCTGAAAAATCAGCTGTGAGGCACAGTGCAGATAAAGGGGTGGCGGGTGGTGGTGGCGGGGGAGATTGTGCGCAGGGGGCGTGGAGGGCACGCATTAAATTCTGGCTGCTGGCACGTGAGTGCGCGTGCGCTAATGCATGTGCAAATTTTGGCACAGGAGCCCAAAAGGGTTAGCTACCATTGCTCTATCTGTTGGACATCTGTTTTGCACTTCTGTCCAAAGCATTGACTTTCTTTCCTTTAACCTGGCTTAGAAAAAAAGAAGGAATCGGAGGTGAGGATGCAGGGGTGATGTTTAGTCTGGGATACAGGGACTAAGATCTCAGAGTGGTTTTTAAATTGCCCCCTTGTAGTTCCAGTTGGCTTTCATGTCCACATTGGTTAAATCACAATATGTATTGTTAAAGTTATTAATTAAGCTTCCTTTCAGAGAAAAAATTACTGTACTTAGGAACATTCAAAAGTTATGTGTCAAATAAATAACAACGCTCCTGGAAGAAAATAGCAAGCCAATCGCATGTTTAGAATATGAATATGAATAGAACAGAACAGGAACAGAATAACAAGAGTTGGAAGGGACCTTGGAGACATGTAATGCAATTTATATAATTTATTTTCTTTGGGACCTGATTTTCAGCCCACCCGGCCAGTTGGAGGAGACAGCCAGGAATTAGAGCATTATATGGTAGTGTCATGCCCTTGTTGGAGTCTGATTCTGAGGGGGATATTGAGCAGCTGACAGGGAGTGGGAGTGTGGCTCCAGTGGCTGTGGAAGAAACGGGGGACAGGCACAGTTCGGCTGGGCATTCAGAGGAAGACCCAGGGCCATACCCTCTTCATCCTAGGGCACGCAGGGAGGAACGGAGAAGGGAGCAACGTGGCTTATGGGAGAGAAAAAGGCCCTGATCCCTTTCATTCATTGCAGCTGGGAGAACAGGATATAAGTGGGGCGTTTACACACAGCTCCTTGCTGGAAGCAAAGCATGCATTATCTTTATAGAGGCTTAGCTAGGTTTTGGCATCCTCCCAACTGTGGTTGCTGCGTTATCTTGTGGAAGTCTGCAATTTATCATCCTGGCCTGCCATGTTAATGACTTCAGTGTGGTTTGTGTTGGTTTTTTTTTATTTCTAATTATCTTTACTTTGGGTTCGGACTGCATTTACTCCCTTCGTAGACTGTTTTTGGAAGAGTTTGATATCCAGCCGAGGATAATTAGACATTGGGGCCCAAGCTGGAGGCATTAAAGGGAATTTATTCTTCTTTTGTGACTTTGTTATTTTTGTGTCACGCCCCGGGTCATCACAGATGCACATATGATGGCCTGTGCTTAATGGAGTCTCAGAGTGACGCTCTTTTGCACCCCACCCCTGGAGAGGCACAGGATGCACCACAAAATAAAAAAAAAACCCAAACCCTCTGACTCACCCGGATGAGACATATAAGCATCCCGATAGCGCACAAGGTGAACATAACTGTTGGGAAGAGCATGACTACACCAGCTCCAACATTCGTGCCAATTAAACGTACGGTAGCAATCCAGCCACTAAAAGAAACCAAGAGAAAAGTGGGTTGCAATTTTCAGAAAACATTTTCCTGCTTCATTGGGACAAGGCAAATAATTACATACATTTATAGCAAATAAATGTATGTAAAGTGTGTTGACAATAGAATAGATGAGATAAAATATTACAGTAAAACCATGATAAAAGGAAGAAAATAAAAGCTGACTGTTGGAAATTAACTTTAAAGACACTATTTTGACTAAATTGTTAATTAGAAAGCCATAAAATGGCAATATCTCTTCTGGCATTAAAATGGAACCTAGGAACACAAAATAAATATTACAAGAACGAGGTGAAATGCTGGGTTTTCATTGAAAATGCGATTGCAGAGTATGAACAACAAAGACAAAGGACAGAAGAGGAGGTGGAGCAAATCACAGAAGGGGCCATCTTTAATCACCATTGTGAACAAAGAACTTTGAAAAGAAAGAGGAAAAGAGTTGGAAATAAATATTGGAGATTTGGGAAATTGAATAAAGAGGGAAATATCCGGAAAATTAAAAAAGGGAAAAAGAATCAGCAGAAATTTGAAGGGGAGAAGGGAGTTATAAATAGAGAGGGAGATAAAAACTGGAGTGAAAGAATAAAGGGGAAAATACTAGGGGAAAGAAGGGATAAGAAACAAGACTTGGGAATAAAGAAATATGGGAATTCTAAAAAATGGGAAAAATTGTTTAATTAGACATAGAGATAATGGCTGATTGATATTTGGAGAGGGGATTCTGCAAGGTGCTTGGGGGTAACATAAATATATTTGTAGTTGTGAAATGGGGGCATATAGATTGATAAGATGGAAAATAAAACTGCTATTTTTTGATAATGAAATTCAATGTTCTTTTCCTTTACGTATAGAGATAATTGTAACAAATAATGGAATATCTTTATTATATTGAAATATTTTAAATATACTGAAATAAATGAAATGATATAGGAGGAGAGTTGAAATGAAATTAACATCAGGGTTTGGATTAAATGAATATGTCCTTTTCTTTTCTTCCCCTCCCCCTGAAATTGTAGATAAACCTTATGAAATTAAAAAGGGGAAACCATGCAGAATCTGATTTATATATGCTATGTAGTTTTAAATGGGTGTTTAATTTGAATGTTTTAGGTAATAAAATGTTAAACATTTAATGGGATTTAAAAGGGGAGATAATTAATATGTAACTTAGAGATGGCGCACTTAAACTGATATTTTAGGGGGGAAACCAATTTATAGAAGGAGTGTTATTAATCAGAATTTTAGAGGAATATACAAATGTGACCGTTAAAAGTATAAAGTATAATAATTATGAAGGTAATATACATGTGAATTAAATAATGAGATAAGCATTTGGAATAATATAATAAAATAGAAAATGTACAAAAGCATTGTTAAGATAAGAAATTGAATACAAAAATTTAATATGTAATTATAGTCATATTTGTATGTATATGTGAAACCTGTAATGATGCTGTTTGCTAAAAAGAGATGTTAAAATGTGGAAAACTGAATAAAACTTGTTTAAAAAAAAATAGCAACTGATTCTCTGCCCGGTGGCTGGGTGGGCGTGGCCATGGTGGACATGGCCTAGTTCAGGGGTCCCCAAACTCAGCAACTTTAAGACTTGTGGACTTCAACTCCCAGAATTCTCCAGCCAGCTATGCTGGCTGGAGAATTCTGGAAGTTGAAGTCCACAAGTCTTAAAGTTGCCAAGTTTGGAGACCTCTGGCCTAGTTGGCCTCCTGCACCACAGCAGAGGAGCTGTTTTCACCCTCCCCGGGCTCTGAAGGCCCTGGCATCCAAAATGGGCCACGGGGGGGGGCGGGGGGGGGGGGGGGGGGGGGGGGGGCAGGGTGAGCAGGGCCAGCCAAGGGTGGGATTTGCTGGTTTGCTGAACCGGTACCAGCCCACCCCTGGTTGTAAGTCAAGGACTACTTGTGTACAGGTATAAGCCTAGTTTGGCAGTAGCATCTGAGAAGGATCTTGGTGTCTAGGTAGATCACAGCTGAAGCCTGAGCTGCGATGTGCTGCAGCTGCTAAAAAAAGCCTCTTTGACAGAGATATAATTTTAACGTTATGGAAAATGATCGGTCCACTCTACCCTGTCCTAGTTAGGCTGCTCCTGGAATGCTGAGATCATTTGGGGTCATCACAGTGCAAGATGCTGAAGAACTGGAAAGAATGTAGAGAACAGCCACAAAGATTGTGAGGTGCTTGGGGGACTAATCCCTAGAAAGAACATTTAAAGGAACTGGGACTGTATAGCCTAAATACTATTTTTTTCCAAAAGAGTTTTCAGCTTTCAGAGGACATGGGAATGGAGGCCAACCTTGCCTCTGGACCCAAGCTATTCCACAATAGCTGTACTTTCTGGGCGGGAGGTGGGCACCCTTAATAAGTACTCCATAGTTGTCTGGGGCAGAGAAGCAGATACTATCTAAGAAAGGTGGTTTCTTAATTGTCCAGGCACTGAACCATGTAGGGCTTTAAAAGTGGTGACCAGCATCTTGAACTGCACTTGCAAATAAATAGAATGGAATAGAATGGAATGGAATAGAATTCTTTACTGGCCAAGTGTGTTTGGACACACAAGGAATTTGTCTTTGGGGCATATGCTCTCAGTGTACATAAAAAAGAAAAAAATACATTCATCAAGAATCATAAGATACCACACTTAGCGATAGTCATAGGTTACTAAATAAGCAATCGAACGATACTAGGAAATAAATAAAACAATATAAATTGTAAAGATACAAGCAACATGGTTATAATCATAAGAGGGAGCAGATAGGTAATAGGAAGGATGAGAAGAATAATAGAAATACAGTCTTAGTAAATAGTTTGACAGTATTATGGGCATTAGTTGTTTAGCACAGAGGTCTCCAACCTTGGCAACTTTAAGACTTGTGGACTTCAATTCCCAGAATTCTCCAGCCAGCTGGCTGGAGAATTCTGGGAGTTGAAGTCCACTAGTCTTAAAGTTGCCAAGGTTGGAGACCTCTGATTTAGCAGACTGATGGCATTCAGGAAAAAACTGTCCTTATGTCTAATTGTTCTGGTGTGCAGTACAAGTACTGCAATTATGTAATGTAGCATTAGAGCAGGTTTGGGCTTAGAACACGGATGTCAAACTCGATCACATCACTTGACGTATTATGACGGTTTTTTTGCCTTTGCGGAGCCAGGGTGGGCATGGCCTATGCGTGACACCAGTTTGACAGGCCTGGCTTAGAAGCAGAAACAAAACAATACTTTACAGTACAGATGCTCCCTGATTGATTTGATTAAATTTATAAAATTGTTGAGAAAATTATTATACCGTGTTTCTCATATAATAAGGCCGGGTCTTATTTTTTTTT